GTGAACAAGCAGGTCTTGGCTGTGGTTGTGGAGTGACAAGCCACAACAATGACCCACCATTGGTTTCATTAAACTTTTCTCAGCTAAATTAAAGAGCCCTTTAGTTCTCAGTAGTTTCTCCCTGTGAAGTTACCCATACACTATAATCAGTTCATCTCTTGATCTTTCTGATAAAGATTAATAGATAGAACTGTTTAAAGTCTCTCACGGTAAGGCATTTACACAAGCCTTTGAATTACTTGTACTGACTCATTTAGGTTCTCAGCTGTGTACAAGTATCAAAGAATAAACTTCTAGACAAAGTGGGCGGGGCATGAGAGAAGAGAGCAGCTGGGACAGTTGAGACCTACCAGTGTTTCAGAACTTACACTCTTAAGTGCAAGTTTCAGAGGGGTAGCTGTGTTAGTCTGTAAGGGTATGTCTACACTACCCCGCTAGTGCGAACTAGCGGGGTAATGTATGCATACCGAACGTGCAAATGAAGCCCGGGATTTGAATTTCCCAGGCTTTATTTGCATAAGCCGGCCGGCACCATTTTTAAATGCCGGCTTGTTCGAACCCCGTGCCGCGCGCCTACACGCGGCACGGGCTAGATAGTTCGGACTAGCAAGCTATTCCGAACTATCTGTACGCCTCGTGGAACTCAGAGTTCTGTCGACAGAAAGCGTTATTGCATGTAAACTGTCCTTGCGTCTACACTGCCATGTCAACAAAGCAGCTTGCTTTGTCGACAGAACTGAATGTAGTGTAGACGCTCTTTGTCGACAGAAGCTTTGTCAACAGTATCTGTCGACAAAACTTCTATCGACAAAACCCTGTAGTCTAGACGTACCATTTCTCTGCTCTCAGCTCACTAATAGGATTTTGTTTAACAGAGACAGTCCAGCATACATCTCTTCCCCTCTGTGGCCCAACCATTATCCAAACTTACTTCATTTTTAAAGAAAAAACAAACACGACAAAGAAGGGAATGTATCCATATAAAGAAATGAAAGGAAGATCGTGAGAGAGAAAGTTGATAGAAACAAGTCAGTGGTATGTCAGAAAGAAAAGAAAGAAGAAAGGGCGAGGTGCTTAAAGAAATGTATTGTTTTCACCTCCTCACACAGCCCTCATGTAACCATTTTCTGACATTCAGCAGTGGGACAAAGCTGGTGTTTGTCTGATGAAAAAGTAGAATCCCATGAGGCTGAATTTAGAATTATTATCAGAGTAAGAAAAATGATTATCAGAGTATTGGGATAGAAACATGGTCTGTGTTGAAGAAAGCATCAGAAAAATCAATCCCACAGTCCTCCAGGGTTAGGGGAAACATTTACAACTGCAATAAGGGGCTATGTAAGTACCATCGATAGTGAAGGTATTCATTTCCCTCCTCCTGCACTGTACAGGCTGCTTTTACCTGCATGGCAGATCGAGCCTCCAGGTCTACACTAGAATCATTTACCCGTCTAATAATGTCACTTGGGGAGTGACGTGATATATATTTATGCAATACAGTAGATTCCACATAATAAGCAATATTAGTCATTTCCAGTGTAATGAAAACATGTTGCATGGAACCATCCCCATCCCTGTGACATCATTAATGGGATTCAGATATTAGCAATGGCACGCATGCTGCTTCTTTGCAGCGCTACAGAAAGAAGCACTGGGACATGCCAAGCACCCTCTACCAGGAGGCTTGCGAGGGTGCAGCCAGGGAAGGAAGTATTGGCTGCAGTGCCACACACCTACCTGGGGCTGGTGCTCAGCACATCCTTGTGCTTCTTGCTAGGGCTGCAGCCCCATGCACACAGAGATCACACAGGGATGTGGGGATTTGGGCTGGAAGGTGGGGCTGAGAGCCAAGTGCTAGCAGGGAGCAGAGCTGCAACCTAGATGCTGGATCTGCAAGGTACCTTCTCCCTGTGCTCTCCAAGCTAATGGGGCTATGCACAGTGAAGGAAGTTTTGGTATGTGCTGAGCCTCGACCCCTGGAGAGAGCGTGCAGCAGTACCATGCAGCTCTGTGGGCACCAGCATGTGGACTGCAGTCTCCCTTCCCTGCTGCTGCCCTGCCCACAGGTTTGCTGGGCTACAGCCAGGAAGGCACATCCTGATAATAGCAACTTTTTGCTGGCAAGTGAGAGGTTGTTAATAAGCAGAATGGTATACTATGTTTCTGTAAAAGCAAGGAGGAGTCCTGTGGCACCTTACAGACTGGGGGTACGTCTACACTACAGCGCTAGTTCGAACTAACTTAGTTCGAATTAGTTAATTCGAACTAAGCTAGTTCGAACTAACGCATCTAGAACTAAAAACTAGTTCGAACTAGCGTTTTGCTAGTTCGAACTAGTAAGTCCACATTGAGTGGACTCTGAACAGGGCTTAAGGATGGCCGGAAGAGGCATGTTGTGGCACAGTCCTGTGGCAGGGGAAGTGCCGCAGGACTCCTCGTCGCTTTTGCAGATTCAGACTAACACGACCACCCCTCTGATACCATGTTTCTATACAGGCAAAAACTAACAGGTATATGCAGTTAATGCCAGCATAGAAGTGCTTTTGCTGGTAGAAGGTACTTGGCTGTAAGAGGCAGTAATTTATACCAGGGGTGGAAAAGTGGCCCCCGGATGCCCGGATCCAGCCCCTGAGACTCAGGGTTCCTCTCCCAGCCTGTTTCTGTGCTCTCCCTCTTGCTCAGACCCCACACCCAAGCCTGGCAGCTCTCCCTCCCACACATTGAACCCTTCATTTATGGCCCTATCCCACTCTCAGAATTTACTAGCCTGGGCTCCCCTATGCATGTGGGGAATGTCTTTCTCCTTCTCAGTCATCAATGAGGGGTTTTTTTTGCTTTCCACTTTTGTGCAGCTCCCAACTGATTTTTCTGTGGGTCAATGGCTCCCAACCCAAAAATGTTCCCCACCCCTGAGTTATATTGACAAAAAGCATAACTGCCTTTATGCTAGGAGGGTTTGCTGCAATAGCAAAGCTATTCTGGTATAGAGTAGGCCTTGGTTAATACAATTATTTTCAAGATACTCTACCATTATATAGTTTGACATGCATCTGACGAAGTGGGTCTTTGCCCATGAAAGCTTATGCTCCAATACATCTGTTAGTCTGTAAGTTGCTACAGGACTCCTTGTCACTTCTACCATTATATAGTGAAAGATACAGGATGAGTTGAAAGCTACATTGTTAATAGTAGCTCTAAAGACTGGGAATGAACACACTGACACTGAACTGAAAAAGCATGTAGAATAGCCCACCAATTCCCTGGGTTTTTTTAATCTCTTTTTTTTCTTCGTCTTCTACATTTTCTGGTGAAACTATTATGCTTATTCTAGACCACAAAACAAATAAAATGTAAAAGGGATTATTTAAGGTGTTAGCAGACTAAAAATTAATTGTGGTACCATTTAAAATATGTGGCTTTAAACAAACTGCAGAGGACAAACTGTAAATAGATCTCCCCACTGGCCGATTGTGATGATTTGTGTATGTATCTGTTACCCAATTCCTTTTTCATTTGTAATAGTGGGGATAAGGCTCGCCGATGCAAGTCTCTTTCATAAAACTTGCATAGATGAGCCAGTCAATCTGAAAGCATCTCAGGTACCCATGAACCTTTTCAATGCGCAGAGAGGGCTTGGAGCCTGATAACATAAGATGAAATATTTCCCACTGAATTTTTAAACAGAAGGCATGAGTGCAGGTGCAAACTATATACAACGCAGCAGCAACTGCAGCAACTATATTGCTGTTTGCATGCACATACACACACACTTTTTTTGGGGTGCAAGTCCTGCTTGGCTGTTGGTTCCATTGAAATTAATAGAGGGTGGGGGTTGCCACTGATCTCAATGGGAGCAGCACAGACCTATTTTGTGCCTGCAATTTAAGCGATGTGCTTTGAAAATTGGTTTGATTTTTACTGTTATAAATAAGGATGCTTTTGTGCCACAGGGTTTCCAAGCAACACAATCTCTGATGAAAGAGAAATTTTAAAAACTCACTGATTTACCATGTTAAAAAAGATGGCACATTTATTGCTACATAAATGTTATATACATCGTGTTTTCTGTTACATTGACAGAAAATTTTTTGAACTTCTTGCTGCTGGTTGAAAACGTTTTATCAGCAATACCTTGAAATTTGACACAGGGTACAAATCTGCAATAAACCAACAATGGAAACTGGAGAACAAGATGAGAAGCAATTCATCTCGGACAATTAGCTCTTACAATACTCCATAGGTACTACACGGTATGCTAGAACCCTACTATGGTCTTACAATGCTATTGTAAATTTCTGATATTAATGAACATGTTATGGTAAATAACCCTACATTTTTACTACCTAATATAGTAAAATAAAGTAAGAAACTTTTTACTGAAAACTTTTTCGATTTCAAAAATCTAGAAAGAGTAATATTTAGAATTCAAGAAATTTTCTTACAAGATTATTGTATAAAAGACTAGCTACAGTGAAAAATAAGCCAAATGTTTTTTTCTTTCTATTTTATGAAGGAAAGCTTCTGGGCATACTGCAAAGTCTAATATAGCCAAAAAGACAACAAGCTGAGAAGGAAAAAGGCCCGGCAGTGGCACGTGATCACTTTCACACGTCATAAGCGACAAATTTGTTTAGCTGATAAACACTGAAATGAAGAACAAGGCCACAGATATAGTCAGATAGTATCTGATGATATAATCAATTTAAAGTAATAGAATGAAGTCACTAATTTCACAAACAACTGGTTTGTTAGGAACCATCCAAAACATGATTTTAAATTCATTAGTCTGTTTTAACAGTCCTTTTTTTGTTCTTTCAAATTAACTGAAATTATTTAAAATTATTAATTATTTTGTTCCTTTTTTTTTGTGTGAGTTGATTGCCATCAGTGAAAGAGGCAATACTCAAACAATAGCTAAGACAACCTTGGCTTGATAGTCCCCCACTCCCCCC